AGATTTCTTCCTGTTAAAAGGGAGTTTTTCTTTCCCACTGTTGCACAGTTCTTGCTCATAGGGGGCTGATTGTTGGACTTCTCCAATACTTTAGGTTTGATGTTAAAATATTTATTTACACAGCGCCAACAGAAAACCACAACAATCATATGACCTTCTATGAGCAAGCGCTTTGGCGACAATAGGAAGGAAAAACTCCCTTTTAACAGGAAGAAACCTTCAGCAGAACCAGGCTCAGGGAGGGGCGGGGCCATCTGCCGTGACCGACTCGGGTGAGTTACAAGGTCTTCACCTTATAATATAAAGCGCCATGATCTGACTGTTGTTGTGAATTGGCACCATATAAATAAACTTGAACTGAACTGAACTAAATTGAATGATGGATTCCAAACTCCTTTCCTTTTATATCTTCAGATGTTGTAAAAACATTTCAACCCTGACTTGAAAGCCTGCTACATGATATTATTTAAAGATTGGTGTGGTCTAACAACTCATTGACTTCACAGTTAATGTGATCCCACTATAACAAGGTTCCTAGTTTTCATTCATGGTAGAAGCCTTTACATAATATGATCATAATCACTAATAGATTTTGGGGTTTTGTTTTTTTATTTAAAACATCTTTTTATAAACTGAAGTTCTCAACAAGTGGAAACGTTGGCATGTTTGTAAGACTAAATGAAGTGCACAGTGGGGAAAAAATAATTCTCTGGGGATCATGTGTTGTACCAAAGTTCATTAACATACTGTATCAGTGTGGACTGAAATGCTGCACCGAAACACCGGGCAACTAACCACACCGCAGTGTGGCTAAAAGATTTGAAACATTTGTACTGAACCAGCCTCTGTGTCTGGGCCTCCTTGTCATCATCTGGAAACAATCAAGTAATCCTCTTCAATAAGGAGAAAAAAATGAAAGAAAATTATAAATCTGACAAGTCCCAAATGTGTCTCACTTCCCTTCAGCAACTCAATTAACCCTCTGTGGTGCATTTAAAGTTTACGTCGGATCTCAAGACAATCCTGGAAGGAAAAAGGTCATCTTGTGAAAATATTTTGGTGAAAATGAGAAAGAGAATTCAGAAGCATATTTAATACTGTACGATCAAATGGGGGATAAAAGATTGGTATTTGGGGAAATATCCAATAAATTTAAGAATGGAAAGGAGGAAATGAAACATAAAGAACAAGGGATTTATGTGGGATTAATGGGTCCTGAGAGTGTAGACCTCCCCCAGAGGTAAGAATTTAATTCCTTTTCATCAATCCAGACCTCCACATCTAAAACTCTCTTTATCTGGCAATTTCATATTTTTCTACTTCCAGCATCTGTCATCACTCTTACTCTGACCTGTTCTCTTATCGTGACCTAGCTTCTTCTCAGTAAAGGCAATGATTAGCATGAGACGAAATGACTTACTGCACTGTCACAGAGCAGATCAGGAGGCTCAATCAGCCGGATGTTAGCTTGAAGTCCCTCATATATTTATGTATCCAAAAATTTAAGATTAACACTGGAGAAGAGAGTGGTGATGTTGATGGGAGGGGCTGAGAGTAAGAAGATAAACAGAAAAATAAATCTTTGTGTTGACCTGCCATTTCCTTATAGGACATTTTGCTCCTCCTAATGATACCACTGTGTTATCTTCTTTCAACGAACGGAACATGCAGTTGAGTCAGACTGAAACAAGATAGAGACTCAAATTTACGTCAGACTTGAAGCCTGATGTTATCGGTTTCCTCTAAACCGCCAACAGCAGCCAGAAAAAGACTCCCAGCAAAAGTGTTTCACGCAATAGAGCAAATTGTCACAGTGAACAAACACTGACACAGCACCGTGTTCATGATGCCTCCACTGGTGGATTGATGGATACTGATATCAATGCAAGTGGAGTCCGGACAGAGCCTTAAAGTGTAACCTTTGGTAACAGCACCCCATAGTGGCAGCTGGTGTTGCTCATTCCTAAATCACAGCTGGGCCATTGTAATATGTGCATTTTATCAAGCACATCTGTATTAAATCAGAGAGAGGACAATTAACAAATATAAATATGTTAATGCAACCTGTGTAGTTTGGGTTTTATTTAAGCAGTTTCTGCCATACTAACATAAAGACCTAAATGTGAATGACATGGAAATTCAAGTCCCCAAGCGTTATGATAGTGCTTTATTTAAAATCCATGTTTATTTATTTATTTTTTTATTATTTATTTTGATGCCCACAATTCAAAAAGGTGTTTTCACAGTCATTCTGTGAACCTTCACAGAGAGCTCAGTTCTTTTTTCAGGACCCTAGTCTCTATAACATCTCTGCTAGAAATGTGAAATGTGTTAGAAATGTGGTCAGAAGACTCGGATAGTCATTCATGCATCCTTTGCTTTCTTAAAAATCTCTTATTCATCATTGGCACCTGGGAAAAACAGACACAGAGATGAGCAAAAACAACAAAGAGATCCAAAGAAGATGAGGACAGGGGTGGGAAGCCATATATGTTAGCACAGCCATGTCTCTCCATATTCATGATTTGCGTTTTGCCCAAATTACATTATTTTTGTTATTCATAAAACTTGCATTTAAAGTTTAATCATGGATGACAGCTCAGCTGTCAGCCTTGTTCAGAAATAGATATAAGTGACCTTCGAGGATAAATGTGAACAACCTACACAAAAACTGATCAAACTAAAAGTCTTAGTTTGATCTGTAATAGGAAGACACCTTACAATCACCATGTCTCCATGTGTGAATGAACAGGACAGAGTGCTGGGCTGCTCTGACAGCTGATATCTGCTTCTGTCTTCTTGTTTAAAAAACAACAACAAAACAGACTTAGATCAGGTTTTGTGTAGGTGTTTCATATTTATCAGAACACATGGAATGTGAATATTTGCAATGCCTTTAAATTTTCTTTACATGTGTGGTTACATTCTCTTCTTTTCACCGGCATCAGTAGCAGCAGTATAACCTTAACTGTGTGGGAACCTCATGAACTAAGAAAATATGACTCCACTCATTAAAGAAAAAAACAAAAAAGGAAAATGGGAAAAAAGGAAAAATGTTTAAATATGCATTCAGGTGAACTGACCCTTTAATGACCTCTCCTGCTTAATGAAGCTTTGTCTCCATTCTGAAGGTCCAGAACTAATGAAAGACACTAGAGGGCAGCCAATACTCATCTATAAACCTTTCAGCCTGGGTCTGGACTGTCTGTCGCCTGCAGCTCCACATTCAAGCTGAATTATACTGTGAAATAGGATTACGTGTCAAGCAATGCAATGATTGAGCACAATTGTTGGAGTTTGCCAGGAGAGAGGAATAAAAAGGAAAATACACAAACACAAATTCCTATTTGTCATGCTGATGTGAGTCATGTGTGAAACAACATTAAGATAAGTCGATCCTGGATGTCAAATGATGGGTATCTTAGCATCCACAATGCTTCTTCTTTTTTTTCATATGAGTAAAAAATAGCAGCAGCTCTCCCCAGAGAGTATACAGGCTGAGTTATGGCTCCATAATTATGTGCAGGAGTGAAAGTGTGCGTATAAATGAACGTGCTGTGTTTTAAAAAGGAGTTTTATTATGGTTGCTGTTTCTTCAGATTGTGGGCTGGGGAGCAGATCTCCCTTTATAGGTTATGTTTCCTCTCCCAAAGACCCGGCTCATACCTAGGGTAACTGAAGAGGCTTGCTTGAATTATACAGAGGCACGTTTAGTGTTTGAAATAATCCAATAAAAAAGGGAAACAGATCAAGAAACCTCCTCAGTTGATGAGCTCATTCCCACCTTCCATCAGCATTTCCTGCATCATAATGAGCAGCAAATCTGTATGTGTGCACACAGGCAGATGGCTGGACTAGAGCGGCTGTCTTAAAGAATTTTTTTTTGCCCTAACTCTTTGAAGTTTCAGTCACACTAGATTGACAGGGCTTCCTCTCCTCCAGTGACCCCCCAGGTGTTACCTAGCTCCTTTAGGGGTCAGGTCCCACAGAATGCATCCAGTTGAGCCAATTAACCCCATGAAATGAGATCAATAAACCCTTTTATTGTTGCACACGACACCATATGCATTATTAGCAGGTAGTAAAATAACATTAATAAAGGGTTTAAATGGCTAAATCTGAGATAAAACAACACAGATATAAAAAGTTCTGACCTAGTGACAAAAAGATATAGAGCAGGTCTTCCTCTGGTGCTGCAGTGTGTGTAAAGATACAGGGAGGACAGCTCACGTAAAGCTCATCTATAAGTGCAATTAAGCAGAAATCGAGCCGCTGGGAGCCAGGGGACCTGTGTAGTGATATCACGCATTTCAGTCCATTAACCTGCTTCTAATGAACTGAGTGTTATTGGGGAAAACTCTTTATTAATCACACCGGACTGAGGTGACGGTCACTGGTTCATCGTGTACGTCAATATCCTTCAGCAGGGCTCCAGTTCGGTGTCCTTTGGGGAGGACAAACAATCTGACGATACCGTGTATGATGTGACAACGTGTGTGAGGATCAAATGCATTCTAGGAGATCCACAGCTCAGCATTAACCTCCTCAGTTACCATATGACAAGAGTTGTTTTTGTTGTGACAAGTGCAGTGTGAAAAAAGATCCAGTCTTTCCCAATCAATGATTTTCACCCACCCACAGTGATGATTATATTTAATGACAGGGTTGCTGGTGAGAAATACCCACAGAGTTGTCAGTGGATTAGTAATGCCGACTGCTGTAGGCTAAAATACTCGTGTCAGAAATACTCACAAGGGAATGGAAAACACTCAAGCCCTCACACAAGTGGGACAGATGCTTATTGTTGTGTAACTACTGGATATTTAGGTTTATTGTAACTTATTTAATTATATGTTGGATCAACTGAGTAAAGAGAAGGTAACTGAAAGAGGGAGATGCTAGAGAGGTGGGAAGAAAGTGAGATAAGGGAGGGGGTAAGAGAGGGAAACAGAGATTGGAGACTGGAGAAAGAGGGGGACAGGCACAAACACATGGGTAGGGGAAGGGAGTGAGGTAGAGGCAGAGTGTGTGTGTGTGAGAGAGAGAGAACTGTTAAAACGTCTGTTTGCTCTTGCCAGTCTCAGCATCGCTCAGTTTCTGCAGGAGGCTGCAGCTCCATCCCTCCAGGATCTCCACTGGCACCAGTGACCAGATATGATCTACCCACCACCCTGTGCACCCGTTTAACTCTGAGCCGGAATCGCTTCATTTTTGCATGGATGATAACAGCCTTCCGCATGTTCATGGATTTCTCACACCATATGTAATCTGACTCAAACACGGGATTGGTGAGAAAAAAAGAAAAGACAGTAGAGTATCACTCCAAGTGGTTTCCTACGTTTTTTAGGTCTGTGGAAACAGCACTTTAGTCAGGCATGGGCATGGGACCGTGCGCCAGCCGAATGGGACCGGGTGCAGTAGGAAGAGCATCTTCCTGAAGGAGGAAAAGCCCGTCTTCGGGAGTTTGTTGTTCTTACCATTAACAATTTATATTCTTTTTTTTCTTTTTCTTTTTTTCCTGCCGGGGCAGGGGACTGTGGGTTTTACGCGCCGGAATGATGCGTCCCAACCGAGGCTTCATCCTGCTCCTCCTCAACGGAACCGCTTGTTTGGTAAGAAAAGAGTGGGAGTGTGCAAAAAGAAAAAAGAAAAAAGTCACACCGGGGTCTTTATGCATCTTTCTCCGAATTACCTCTAAATACCTTCTGCGTCAGAATATACCGTAGAGTACAAACTTCCAAACTCCGTGATATACGCTAATTAAAGGGGAAATGTTTGCGCAGACGTGCGTGGATAGCAACTGACAGCTTAGATTAATTTGATGGAAATGATAAATTACGAGACGTGCAGGTCATTTGTGCTTCTTACAAAGATGCAGAGATAATCCTCGACTGCTGCACGACAGCACTGTGTTGGCCGCAAACCAAATTCTGCTGATGTCTGGTTTGTTTTTTGTATCACTAGTAATTGTTAAGACAATAACATTCACTCTGACCCCGCTCGTCTCGGGTACGCCGGGCGCAGTGTCACTATTCTCGGGGGACACTCGTGCTGGCAGCGTGCGGAGCGCACCGTGCCATCGGTGTTTGTCACATATGTGTTTTACTCTGTGCGTCTTTGGAGCCGCTTCAGTCCTCAGCTCTGTAACACTGTCAACAAACACTACATGGCCATTAAAAAGTTATAGTGTTACAAATTTATGATTTACTCTATCAATTGAACTCCAAAATATCAAACGCAAAACTGTGAATCAACTGAGGAAAAGTTTATTTAACCTTCCGTGAAAACCAGGCGTTAAAAAAATGCATTATACACAAGATATAAGCCACATTTCAGCACTCTTTAAATTATGGCTTTGATTTGATATAAGCTGTAGCACCTTTACACTACAGGGCCATGCCCCAAGGTTCTTGTGTGTGAAACGGTACAGCAGAATCAGCAAGACAAAAGCTTGAATACTTTTTCATGTGAAAGATCCACAGTAAGATAAAAGCGCTGGTTTGTTTTTGTAGTCTTTGCTGTGAGAGCTCTTACCTTATTGAACGATGTGATTAAAGACTGAATTTATACAGTAGGTGAGGAGAAATTTATGAGATCTAATTCAGCAAATTAATGCTAAATTGATTCATACACAACACTCCTGCCAATGGATATGTAAACACTGAAGTTTCTGTAGCTTAAATAATACTTCCAGCATTGCATAACCTTACAGTTTAATTTGGATCACCCACTCCTCTTTCATGTGCGCTTCTAGATTTATTAAAAAGCAGCCTTTAATGAGAAGTCAGCTCTTAAATCGCATGAGAAAACTTGAAAACATCCTTCTGTTCGGAAACCCCTAGGCTAAAGGGAGCTCAGTCATCTCAGGGCCCAGGGAATGAGCCAGATCCCAAAAAAACCAAAAAAACATGAGTGACTGAAATACTGAAGTGAGGTTGAGTGGCTGTTCAACCCGTCTGTGACGGCATTCCTTCAAGGATGACCTTGTGGTTTTCATATTAAGGTATTATTCAGATACTCAGAATAAAGTGATAGCTCTTTTGAGGATCTGAGGTCTAACAGACATTGGTTTTAAGTGACTTAACATACTCAGTGATATTCTTGGCTGAGACGGAGCTCTTTCAACGGATTCTTCTGTTCTCTGTGAAATATGAGACCACACGCTGTCTTAAAATATGGGGGACGAGTGCCTTTTCAGCTGTTGTATAACTAGATACAAGAGTGGGGATAATAAGCTTAACACTCACTTGTTGTTTTGGTTCTGGAAGCGTTTTGTGAGCTGCAGGGCCGCAGCCTATTGTAACCCAGAAGGTCTGTGGCTAAATGATAATGACATTAATTAGAGCCTTTTTTTCTCCCTCTCGCCAGACCATGTATCTATGAAAAACGTACACGGCATCCCTCAGCAGGGAATCTTGGGTAATTCATTAGCCCTGTGACATTGATAAATTATGGAGCAATTAATAAATTAAGTAACTTTTTATTAAGTAATGGAGCAGTGATTAATAATTAAATGAGCCTGCTATGCATTAAAAATTTGATTTGGATGATTTCTGTTGTAATAGCGCTGCAATTTTCAGAGAGGGTTCAGTCTCAAGGGATCTTTTGCAAATGGCTACTAATACAGACGACTATTAACACAAGGTGCCACTCTGGTTGTTGTTTATGTGATGAATGATGTGTTTCAAATGTTAATTATTCCCTGAATTTGAATGAAGGGTTATGAATAATAAAAGCCATCTCAGTTGTATAATTGACTGCTTGAGAAATTATGTTTATTTTTGGCAGCAGTTGGAGTTATTTTTCATCAGTGAAGCTCAGCAATCTGACTGCATTTGTTTCACTAAACTAAATCGCTAGAGTGAATTTTCTCAAGATAGTCTGTTGAATACTTAGGATGAAAGTGAGTCAGCTCTAATGTGAAAATGTTTCGTTTTGGAAGGGCAAATAGACAGGTGTAGGCAGATGTAAGAATGAAAGAAAAGAGCTGGAATGAACCAAGATATTGGTGCTAAAAAAGGAGTCAGCTAAACATCTGCCTCAGAGGTTTATACCCCTAATTGACAGTCATCACAGATTCTGTGTGATTTTCACAGAATTACACATGTTAATCCACTTGTAATTACAAACGCAGCCGTGTGGATGAACCAGGGTTGATGGGATGAAATCTCAGACCAGCCAGTGAAACCTGGGAGGAGTGAGGTCAACGAGATGTGCAGCTCTCTCTTTCAACAATCTTAAGAACTATCAATAAAGGCATGAAGTGTCCTCGAAAAGGGCATTGAACTCTGATACTCCGGTGAGCTGCAGAATTTCTTCTCTGCAATTGTTTGAAGAACCTTGTGCTTTTAAATGCATTACTCGCATTCAACATGGCACATTTGTGTTATTTTAGACTTGAAAATGCAAACCTAACTATAATTTTACTGACAAGGAGAATTTCGTCTCTACAGTTCAGTAAATGGAGGTATTCAAAATGAGCTTTTTGTTAAGTAATTTTGTGCTGTAACCTTCATGTATTAAAAATCTCTGGGGGAACGTAGGCTTGACTATTTGTGAATCACAGATGCTCTTTCTCACCAGATTTTTCTGGAAAGGGTAGCCCCAGGTAGCCTTTCTGTGGCCGTGAGAGACAGAACCGCTTTATGCTCACACTGATTGCTTTCTGCACAGATGAAGACACTGGCCATCATGCTTGATAACTGAATTTCACTTCTGTAGCTGAGCACCGAATGTCACTTTTTACAAATTGAATTTCTGTGGAGACATTCACACATATTTCAAGGTCTACATGCCACACCGTTCCCTCTGCGTGTAAGTAATTTAAAAAAAAAGAAAAGAAAAGAAAATGTGACACTTTGAAGAATTCACACTGGGAAATTGGGAAGTAGTGCTGTTCTGTTTTCTCTTTCTTAACTTTTACTCACACCCTCCATTTGACTTTGCCATCAGCAAGGAAACACTCACTCAAGACGGCGCATCAATTAATAACAAATTGTGCTGTTACATTTAAAGCTGGAGAGCCAAAATCACTTCTGTGACAAAGACAAGATTTTACATCACAGAAGCATAACAGCACAAAAACTGAGACAACAAAAGACATTAAATCCAGGCAGCATTTGCTGTGTCTGAAACAGCAGAAGACAGCATGGTGCGACAAACGCACTCTGTGCAAACCTGAAGATTTGTGCATGTAGTTAAAGAGCAAAGGCTGCCTGACGCTAATTCTAACCACATCAGACTCCTCTCTCCATTCTGGTCTGTCACAAACTCTTAGATTCATGTTTCTTAGATACCTGTCCTCCTAGCAGGGTCACTGACCTTGTCCACCCAGATACATACCACCTCATCTTGCGAAACAAATAGAAGAAAACTCAGTCCGATGCTGCATACATTGCATGTAGTCACAAACGTGCACAGCCGCACCAGACCGAGCTCCGTTTTTTTCAGCCTTCCCGCTCTCGTCCTCTTTGCCATCGGTGTTGCAATCGGCACATCAGAGCTTATAAACTTTCACTCTGCGCCTCACATCCCACGCAGATGCTGGAAACACAAAAACTCATTCATAATTGTCAAATTTCTATCATAAGGGAAGGTCGGCTCTGTATCCATGCAAGCCGAGCAGTCTACTGTGCTGAGTGTATGTGCCGTATAGTTATGAATGTCATAACTGGGTGACGTGAAGAGGAAAATGATCATCTCATTGTATCTCTATCATCAGCAGGAGAAAATGCGCATCATGTTTTATCCATCAACGTAGAGGAAAATGACAATTCAGGTCATACCCTTCAAGCAAGCAGTAATTAAATAACCAGAAAAGTTTACTCAAATATCTAAACTTCAGTATCAATATGAGTCTTTTTTATTCAGGAAACTAAAAATCTAATGGACTTGTAGATAATAGTGTTTTTAGGCTTAACCACTTCCACATAATTCTTAATTCTGGGGTAATGATAGGAAGATAAGTTAAACAATATCCCCTTGTTACTGATGAAAACAACATTTCGAGTTTATTGTTATTACAGCATCAATCAGCTTCAGCGTTTATTTACATGAGCTTCTGGATCTAGCACTATTTGTATTTTTTCCAGATCATTTTGTAAAAAATATGCAGAGTACTTTATCTTTGCTAAGATTAGTGTCTTTTTATTAATAATGCATTTAGAAAAGTAATTGGTTTTCTCAGATAATTCGGGCATCCTTGAATATGGCTTAAATTTGATGTCTTTGCTTTTTGATTCTTATTCTCTTCTCGTCACTTTACCTGTGTGGCTCTGGCACTATTTTCCTCTTTGTTTCATTCGAACAAATTAAACAGCTAGGAGCAGTTGCAGAACATATAAACAACATATGACGCAGCAGCGGATGAGCAGTGCTGGACAATCTTTGTAGCCTATTGCCTGCAGGGTAAAACGGCTTGAGTTATGAACATGCACAGCATGTAGGACCCCAGAGGTGCACCTCCTCCACCATCCCCGACCACCCAGTGAGCCCCTCCCACAGGCTCCAGGCAGCCCCATAGCAGAGACCCAGACAGACAGAGAGAAAGCACACACCCTGACACACTGACAGCCCTTCATATTGAAGCGCCAAGCTGTCCTCAGACAGAATA